CAATAGATCAGAGATGAACCATTTTAACTGTCCAGTCTGACAGTATTTGGGGTAAAGAACTTAATTTATCCCAGCCCTGCTGAGTTGACATGTCCAAATATGACCCTGTGCTGGGCTCCAATTTGTGTTGTTTTAAACGCAGAAGGTTTTAGTGTGTTTTACATAAAAACTCTCATACAAATTAATGACTTGAAATACAAAGATTCAGTCTGAGTGTTTACGACTTTCCTCCTTCCAAGCATCAAGTTTTGTGACTTTGAGTCTAACGAACCTGTTTAAACTCTCAAAAGAATTGTGTCTTAAACCTCATTTAGTGGGGAATAGATCCATCCATTCATTCGAGGGCTATTTTTTTAAAAGTTTAGAGCGCCTCAATGGATTTTTAGAGAGACGCTGCGGACAACTAAATAAGCCCATCTCTCATTAACGACCTCGTGTTTATCAGGAGTGTCGGTTGCAGAAGATTAGCCATGGATGCGATCACACGTTTCATTTGAGAATACATCTTCTCATCCAGATTAATCTATTCAAGCAGCACCTGATTAATGAGGAGAGGCTTGAGCTTTAAATTGGAAACAGAGTGAATGGTTCAAGGACAGCCTCGACAATCATTTACAGCAGTTAAAGGAAACAGAACTTGGCAAAACAAACAAAAATAAAGCCACTCATGCTCATCAGTACAGCTTCTTTTGTAACAGACATTTAAAACTAATTATGTCAAATGTCTTAAATGTGTCATTTGTGCTTGGTCTTCATCTTAAATGTATATTCCTGAAGAATAGTCCATTTACGGTCTCTTTAGGGCCTCAAAGTTGTACTCATTGTTTTTGTTTACACTTCAGGGGCAGAGCCAGAGGGGTGGCTGGGGTGGCAAGTGCCACCGCTGGCACCTGATTGGCTATCACATGAGGCATTTCAAAGATGGGCAGTTAATGAGAATCTTTTTTGCCAGCTGGGTTAGCTTTCAGAATGTCATGGCTCTTGGCTGCCAACATAACAAATTGAGTGGTAGCCATTTATATTCAGCTTTGGCAGCCATCTTGAATTAGTGCTTTAAGTCCGATTTTGTTAAAGATTGTTACACTAATTTTCAGCTGTGTATATTTAAAAATGACTAAATTATAGCCTTATAGCATTAGCTTAGTTGGGACTAGCAATATGCGTGTTTTTTTWATCATTCTTATGATCACACAAAATTTTAGCCGAACGTTTCTAAAAACAGTTAATTAGAGTCGTTTGAAGTTAGCTGTGTTGGACATCTTGAATTTTCGTATTCAGAGTATTTTATTCATTTGTATGTACCCCACTGAAAACACCTTGGCCGCCAATTGCAAACACTGTCTAGCTCCGCCCCGTTACACTTTCACTTGAGAATCACACGTCTCTCATGATGACTGTCGTTTTCCATTAAATCCAAAAAGCACCTAAACTGAACAGAAGGCTGATCCTGCCAGCCAATGATATATTTATCATCTCTATTTGCCAGTTTGTTTAATATCGCCACCTGCCATCTGTGTTGAGAGACGTAGCCTCTGAGGGGAAGATTTGGGCTTTAGTAAAGTCACGATGATTTTTCTGTGGTGATACTTAAGCATGAGTAAGAAAATGCAATTCTGAACAAGTAGGTTGCAACTTTTTTCCTGCCGTATCACTTGATATTAGCTGAAACGCTGAAAATATGTAGAAAAGTTTGATTGAAACTGTATTTAAAAGAAAAGAACAGTTCACTGGCAGCTCTAACAGGCTCCTGTAGGTGTCTAAAGCCAGTTCAGACCTTCCTGGAAGACATTATAGTAATTTGCTGTAAAGTCTTATATAAAGAAGCTCATTTCAAATATGTGTCTAGTGCTTGCACACACCCCGCTGGGTAAATAGCTGTAGTGCGGGAGAATGACAGGTACTTTTAGTTCCTGCTCACCTAACTCTGGGTCGGCGTTGCTCGCTGCTGGCATCACAGCACGACAGCAGCACATCTAAAGACGCTAAAGGAAAAGATGTAGAAAGGACATGGTAAAGCAAAGTTTTATGTTTAATGAGCTTTTTTGTTCATAACGAAAGTCTAGAGTCAAGCTGGTCATTTAGGATGAAAAGACTTATTGACTGTTTCTTTTGCAAATGAGCTTTCCCTTTTATTTCATTTTTTCTCTGTCCAAATTTTTCTCTGGTTATTTTGAACTGTCCTGCTGATCCCAAGGCGTCTCACTCTCTGCTATTTATAACCAGCCCAATGAATGTGATATGAGTTTTGCCTGAATGGCTCCTGGGCTGCTGTTGGTTTTACGTGCTGAGGCTGAGCCGCACGACCTGCGAGTAATGGATGCAGTTTTTCTCCACAGGTTTTATAAAACCTCCTGCCTGTGCTGACGCCACAGTGGGACTGCTCAGAGCTTCTTATGATGCTTGACAGGGATTTCGATTCTTTGACTTTTACCCAGCAAATGTGCCCTAAGACTGTGCTGCAATGAAATATACATAGAAATGAAGGGATTGGATTTAGATTCTAATGGATTTAGCGTTTCTCTAAAATCAGTTCTGAGGAGCAACACTTCCCTCTTGTGGTTAATTGATCTAATAACAAAAATAAACCAGCTACAAACCAAAGAAAGAGCAATGTCATCCATGGCATCTACACATGTAAACATATTTGTTATAATAATAAAAAAAATAGCACAAAGGTAGAAATGCCTTTGTTTCTAAAGCTGCACGTCTCAAATTAGTAAAATATCTGATGTACAGTCTAATCATTTAATCTGGAGCATGGTGCTGTTTCTGTTGCTGGTGTCAAATTGTCTTATTGCAACATGTGACTTTTATTTTCAAGACTTGACCAGTCACTTTTCAGTCTAGTTCCCTGTTTAATCTTTTTTTTATTTTATTTTTAATTTTATGAGCATCAGCTTGAAATAATAGCAGAAGTTGTGCTTGTGAACACGTGTCTGTAATTTTAAATGTTGTGCAAGGGAAACATTGCTGCTTATTCTCTGAGATGGCGATAAACGTGACATAAATGAAGAATTACTTGAAAAGTATAGTTCTTAAAGGCAATGACTGAATAAAATGATATAAAGAATTTCCATCCATCCATTAATTATTTTACATGTTTGTTCCTGTTCAAGTCATCAGTCTGATAATCAAGTTAATTTATTTATTATTACTTACAGGTTTTTGACAAAAATCATTGAAAATAAGCTGAGAAGCCAAAGTAACAACAATTCAGATCTTTTTTTTTATAATAATCAATAAAATGTTAATAGCACAACAAGAAAAAGGGGGAAAAAAGCTTTATTTACAACAACTTATCTATGATTCTCTCAGTAATTATATCAGGATCTGTGCCATTTCTTAAAAAAAAAACTAATTTGACGAAGAGCATTACGGTGCATATTTTTTTAAATTACATTGAACGTTATGAAGACAAAGAGGGAAAGAGAGAGCCAAAAAATAAAAAAGTGTGTGCAAATCTTGACTTTAAGCTCCTCTGTATGCATTAGTTTCAGCTTTAATCTAGTCAAAATTATTAATATCAATCGCTTGTATTACGTCCAGCACACATCACTTTTCAAAGTGTGCTTTTAAATGGTCTGAACTTGTATCAAGACCTTATAGACTCCATTCACAAATGCTACACTGTAGCTTCGCACAGAGCTGAGGAAGCTGTGCACTGGTGCCACTGAACCCTCTGAACACCAGCAGGCAGGGTGGGTGAAGCGTCCTGCCCAAGAACACAACTGACCACTCTATTTATATATTTATGAATGCACTAAATCACAAAAATAACAAAACTAGTTTTTAATTCTCTGCCTTTTCAGTTGCAATTCCATATACATCATTTGTAAACACCATGTTTTCAGCAAAGCATCTTATTTTAGTAAGAGATCAATGTCTCTGTGCTGCAGTCGATTGCATTCGACACTAGGTGTCCTCAACTTCCACTGCTCTTACTTTGACTTGGTGGGACTTTAAGTGAAAACACACCTGACAGCCAGAATTTTTTTTTTTGTCAATAAAAATCAGCGTCTCTGTCCTCTCCGCTCCTGGTCCTCAAACAGACGTGTCGAAGTGCTAAAGACAAGGAGGCTTCTGATAACAGAGGATAAATTTTGGTTCATCTAAATGACAAAAAAAGAGCCTGAATGGGCTGAGTGCATCTGTCTGTGCAGGAGAACAGCTGTTGCTATGGAGGTAAAGAGCCAGGGCGCTGCACTTTATTGTTTGATCTGTAATGCATGCAGAATATTTTGTTATATACAGTACACTCAGTTTTTATTTAACATATAATAATCATTTATTACAGGTGGCTGCAATTTGTTTTTAATCGAAACCTCTATAGAAAGTTTAACTCTTGCTTTTGAGCGATACATTTATGGTTGTTGGATTATTGGAGCTTAAACCTTTGCCTCCTGCAGTGCCTGTAATCCAGGTATTTCTCAAATCTAATACAGATTAGCAGACTCTGCTGAATGACTCGTTTCTCTGCCTCCTAATTGTCTGCAGTAGTTTTTGGCTCCTCTCATCAGCACAGCTATTTTTAAAGTTAACTCTCCTCGCTGGATTTATGTTTGCTTCCCAATCGGGTATTCTGCAACAGCGAGCGAACGGCAACATTGATTTTACTCGCACAACAGAAAGTTCCCTCCAGCTTTAAATATTTTATTCAAACACAGAAGTTGCTTTGGTGTTCTGAAACATGGACCTCTTTTATTACAAAACCAAGTTTTGTGCTGTTTGTGTTCTCACAGTTTTATCAGAACTGTGACTGGTGAGCTCTGGAGGAAGAAGCTGTTTGAAGACGAGCCCATAGGCTGAAATGTGATATAAAGCTTTCAGGAATCAGTCAGTCCTTGCTTTGCAGCCTGTTTACATGACTGATTTAAGTTTTCCAGGTTTGCCTGTCAGGCTTGTGTTAGCATTTAGCATCAAAACAAACTTATTATTGCCTGTGTGATCTCTTGTGTCTGATGGATTATCACTTGGCTCTGATATGTTGTTGAAATATAGGCCCAAACAATATTTTGGTCCATTAAATCTTTAAGTAGCTAAACCACGTTTGGGGATGGAACGACTGGAGGACTTTCCTTGAAATGGAAACTTGTGACTCACGTGGCTCTCCTCAACACCTAAAAGCTTCTGATGGGAGGGTTCTGCTTACGCAATAGCGATGTAATAAAGATATTGGATTCCTTTACTGAAGGAGCAGCCTCACATGGTCAATATTTAATGTGAAAATACTCCATTAACGGTAAACATTTCAGAACTTTCTACTTATACTGTAAGTGTGAAATCAAACAAAATATTTCATAAACCTTGTAGCCAAACTTCTCACTAAGTGAAACTGTATATCTGTGCACAGCAGGTCTGTATAAGAGTTGTGGAGGCAGCTTTCTGCAAATAAATCTTAGTCTCAAGGAGTATTCGAGAGCAGGAGGCGAGGCGAGAAAAGTCAGAGAGACAGAAGATGAGAGTGCAGAAGAAGTGAGGGGAGCCTGGTCAGGTTGGTGGGGGGGGGTGGAAGAGAGGAAGGAGAGGATGGGGCCACAGCTAACGCAGCATAATTAGCCAACGCTGCTTGGTTACCTTCCAAACAAAGCTGCTGATTTGTGGAAGCAAAAGAAGAGGAGGGGAAATTTTAGAGAGACAGCGAGACTAGAGAGGAGGTGAGAGGAGTGATTGCACCATGCCACACACACACATATACACACACTCTTGAAGCTCAGTCTCCCTTGGAGACTGTGGTAACACTGGACTGGGGCATCTCAGTGCAACTGTGGAGTCCACTTGGCTGCACTTTCACTGAGCTTTCTCCACTAAGCTGTGTCACTATCCAGACAGAAGGAGGGCATCTGAGGGGAGCAGAAAGTCTGGACCGAAGTGTTGGGATGAGGAGTTGATCTTACAGCTGGAGGGGGAGCGTGAAGAAGAGGAAGAAGACGAAGCGGGGGAGTCAAGAGTCTGAGGATGCGCTACAGCAGGAGGAGCTGCTGAGTGTTGCAGCTGCAGCAGCCTGGGCAAACACACACCTTCCACTGGAGGACAGTGTGTGTGTTTTCCTGGTGGAGAATGAAGAAGCATTCAGCCCGAGTGGCTCCTCTCAGCTCATACAGCACTCAGGTCCTGACCAGCCCCAACTCTGAAGGTAAACTCAAACCACCAGAGAGGCCTAAGAAACCATTTAGACTTTAAGCCATCGGGGCTATTAAAACTAGGAGCAAACTTTATTTACTGGGATCACATGGCTTTGTGAAAGACATCACATGCATTGCCTGTGCTGCATGTATTTGGAATCATTAAACTAAAAAACTATAACTATATGACAGTATTTATGGTGCATTTGTCTGTAGTGAATAATGTGAAAATAGCACATTAGCTGCATGATAAACTCCGGCTGCCATGTAAACAAAAACAGTAAAGTCACCTGTTCTGACATCAGTTTGTCCCTCACCTCTGAACATTTCTCTCCCCAACAAATCCACTCCTCACCTTCAGCTCTTCTGCAGAGATAACAAAACTTTAATCAACTTTCATCCCATCCACGAAACAGCTTTCAACCTATTTTGGATAAAGACCCAAAGCATGTGAGCCGCAGTGCGAGCGCCTAACGCTGCAGACATTACTGGGAGCTTCTTATTGGATTCAGCGAGGCTCCATCAATCAGTGCTGCCTGCGTGCAGCGTTAGTGGTGGGGATAAGACCCAGAGTGGATTGAAATGTGAGTTTCCAGCAGCATGCTGCGTCACGCAGATTCGATAAGCTCTTTAAACGACAGCAAGTGAATGATCAGATGCAACAGAGTCGACACATCCAACTGTTTCTGAGGAGTGGCCTTGTGTTTGAGAAAACATTTATGTACAAACTTGCTATTTTAGTTGTTATGTCTATTTGTAAATTTTTTTATTTGGAATTATTTTAACCAGATTGGTTTTTATTGATAGCTTCATCAGTAGCTTATAAAGTTGTGAACAATCTTTAGCAACACGTGCAAGAAAACTATATGACACTTTACTAATAATGAACAGACACAGCAGCCAAATTTAGGCGCAATGCCCACTTTTAGTTAGAGTTACAAGGCTTATTCTTGTTTGGCTTGTTTACAATTCTCTGGAATGGTATTTTTTTTTTTCATTCTCATCCATAGATGCCAAGTCACGATTCTGTCTGTGACTTAAAAATCGCATTTATTTGATTGTGTCCTTGTGTGCCAGCAAGGAACTGATTAATTCATTAACATCAGTTTGGCAGAACTTCAGGGCACTTTATWCATAAAAGAAGCTTCTTACTAGAAACATTTAGTGTCATTAGATTAAGCAGAACAGGGCATATTGCTCAGAAATATGGGGAAATGCAAATGAAATAGCTATTGACATATTAGTTAAGTTACATAAAAACACTATAGGCTTATTAATAAAATGGGATATTGTGAACCAACTAAAAAACTTTTCATTCAAAGTAACACTTTAAATTTTCAGGACGTTGTAAATATAAAAATACTAGAAATAATGTATGAAGCATTGAATAAAAATCTTCCTTCTGGAATTCAAAAATTTATCTAAGTTAAGAGAGAGTGAATATAATTTATGAGGTTTGTTAACTTTTGAACAAGTTAAAAGTAAAGTAAAATCAAGAAGTGTTTCAGTTATTGGTGTGAAATTATGGAATGAGTTGAATGATGATCTCAAATTATGTGCTTTTTTGGTGAAGTTTAAAAGCGCCTTAAAATGCAAAATTATAAAAGCTTATACTGTTATGTAGATTTATATTTGTATTGTGTAACCATGTATGCATGTAATGTATGTGTCTATACTGTATATGTACAGCGGGTAAAATAAGTATTGAACACGTCAACATTTTTCTCAGTAAATATATTACTAGAGGTGCTAATGACATGAAATTTTCACCAGATGTCGGTAACAACCCACGTGATCCATACATACAAAGAAATCAAACCACAAATGTCCAGAAATGAAGTCAGGGATGTGCACAGATGGACGTCAGGTGGTGCTTGAGCACCTGCCCTTTCCCTCCAGACCATCTGCCCCTGTC